CCACAGAGATCACACGCATCGTGATCTAAGGGTAACTCTTGAGATCCAGCTTCACCGGTCGACACAGTGACCACCACTTCCGAACGTAATCAACCAGGTGGAGTGCTGACTGTTATGTTGGCCGACTCTCTGTGTTGTATTGCATTATATTTCCAAGTTTACTATGTTTGTTTTCTCATGCATTTGTACGTGATAATGGTTGCTTGTGTTGCAATCGAAACGTCGTATTCTATTATTACTGAATTTTATTTCTTTCGACGTGACTTTACCTCAAGAACCAAAGAGTAAGACAACAAATGTCACATAGTGGGCATACGTTTAGGAGAATCACTTCTGACAATGAGCAGTCGGCTAAAGGTTTTGAACTTTTCCTCTCACTGGAATGAATGAAAGGTGTTTATGTTTAGTGACTTCTGTATGATTCCCACTGGCATGATCCATCCACTACGTGTGTGTGTGTTTCCTGTTGCATGGTCCTATGATGCCAGCTGGCCTGGTTCGACTCCCATACCAAGGGTGCACGCTAATATGAAGTTGTCTTGGGCTTTCCTTAAATAACTCCTTGTGCAGTACATGCACTGGAGCTACAAATGTGGCTGGGAAGAGTGCTGGCCATACCGATGAGCACGGTTGGCTAAGTACGGCGTGAAATAAGTTCAACATACATACCACCACTTCTTGCCGGGTTTATTAGGTGTTTGCAAACTGTACTTTCCTTGCAACCTATTCGGCAATATCGGATAAATTATCTTTTGTTTGCAGTGGTTCGTGCACCGTGCCACTTTGCTGGTGAAATGTGTTTGATTCCTGGCCATGGTGAACATCAACACCAGCAAACAGCATCTGAAACTTGGCTTGAACCTCCATTCGTTTGACCCAACGAAGAACGAGGAGGCTTAGCGCCTCTGAACATTGCACGACACGCAGCAGCATCTGATGGGCTAAGTCGCAGTGGCAGCGCCGTCCCTCCCTGTGCTCAAGACCGGCGATGAGAGCAGCGCTTATGGTGACCCGGCGGTTACCACTGTGAATGCGCACATTCCTTGTGAGCCAATGAATGTCGTGACATCAAGCGTTTCTACAATAGCACGCACTCATGTCATGCGCTACGAATAAGAGCCACTGCCCGAAAAGCCGTCTATTCTACGCGTTTAATTTTGTTGAGTTATTTTCTCATCAGACGGTGGCGGTACAAACGAATCGCTGCTGCTGTTGCTGCTGTTGTTGGTGTTTAAGGAGCGTGCAGACAAATCTCAAAATACGCTTCTTTGTCACAAAACATTAAGTGGCCAGTAATGAACGTCCCCCCCCCCCCCCCCCCACCAGATTCGTCGTAAAGGCACCGTACTCACACTCACCCTCCCCTCCCCTGGCATCACAATAATTTTACAGCCATATCCATATTTCCAGTCTTTTACTCCCGGCCGGATACACCACCTTCACTAAGAATTTTTTTTATGTACAACAGTGTTTCAATAGCGCAAGAAATTGTCCCCCCCATCCTACTCATCCCCCTCCCCTCCGTTTCCCCCACCGCCATATCCGTCGTACACCTCCCCTGGCATCACAAAAAAAAGATGGTTATCTATTGGCTTAACTCATGCTCATCCCCTGCCCAACCGCCCGCGACGCCACACGACCTGCCGCATGCCCCCCGACCCCTTGGCTCCTCCCCCCCCCCTAGTACCCTATATAAACATGTCTCTAAATAGCTCTCTTCATACGCTACAGTAATTTTGCTGGAGCAGTCACACCTGATGACGGATGCTTGTGTTGCTTCCGAAACGTCGTGATTTAATTTAGTTGTTTTATTTTTTTTAATTTTCTTTTCATCTACGTGACTTGACCGAAAAAACCAAAGAGTATGAGTGTGTTGTTGTGACCTGCAGTGTGGTGGGTGGGTGAGTGTGTTATTGTGACCTACAGTGTGGTGATTGGGTGAGTGTGTTGTTGTGACCTGCAGTGTGGTGAGTTGGTGAGTGTGTTGTTGTGACCTGCAGTGTGGTGAGTGTGTTGTTGTGACCTGGAGTGTGGTGAGTGGTTGAGTGTGTTGTTGTGACCTGCAGTGTGGTGAGTGGGTGAGTGTGTTGTTGTGACCTGCAGCGTGGTGAGTGGTTGAGTGTGTTGTTGCGACCTGCAGTGTTGTGAGTGGGTGAGTGTGTTGTTGTGACCTGCAGTGTGGTGAGTGGGTGAGTGTGTTGATGTGACCTACAGTGTGGTGAGTGGGTGAGTGTGTTTTTGTGACCTGCAGTGTGGTGAGTGAGTGAGTGTGTTGTTGTGACCTGCAGTGTGGTGAGTGGGTTGTTGTGATCTTCAGTGTGCTGAGTGGGTGAGTGTGTTGTGACCTGCAGTGTGGTGAGTGGGTGAGTGTGTTGTTGTGATCTTCAGTGTGCTGAGTGGGTGAGTGTGTTGTTGTGATCTTCAGTGTGGTGAGTGGATGAGTGACGTTCACGGGAACAATAACCGTGGTAGTAGCGACAGAAGATTGACAAGGAGGAGACTTGACCGCCGATGAGCGAATGACTGGAGTGAATGAGTGAGCGCTGAGTCATCAACCACGCTCTCCGATTTACGTTGGTTGCCGAATTCTACATGAATCGCGTCTTGAGGTAACACACGTGGGGGGTGTGGGTTCGTGCGTGCGTGCGGTGGCTACACACGGGGCACAGCAGCTGTGGTTCCCCCACAGCGGAACACAGTTTCCGTGAGTACACACAGCATTTAAACAGCTCCCATCGCCACATGAATAGGCCACCACTTTGCATTCCCACGTAGTTTTTTTTCTTTAGGGGAGTAAGCAAAGGCGAGTGGTGGGAACACAAAAGGGGGCCCCATTGTTATGCATTCGATGAGTTTAGGGTCTGAAGAGAATACAACGGCGGTGAGGGGTTCGGGGGCGCTTAGGGATGGGGCTGTGGGGGTATGAGGGGGGGGGATCTGCGTCTCCCCCCGCCTGTGGCATGGAAATGAAGCTGGCGCGATGAGAGGCGGGGGGGGGGGCCGAGGTGGCGGCGTCGCGCGCACGCGAATATCCCCCCGCTCCCTCCCCCTCCACGTGAGACCCCCTTTGTGCAGCGAGCTTGCAAACACCGCGAATTGACACGCGGGCTTCTCATGCAGTGATTTGCATTGAGTCATGCGGAATTTAGTCACGAGGCAATGCTGCATGTAAGTAACAAAAAACGACCCGTATGGTACTTGGTAAGAACCATACCACACATGTACCACTGCCACATGGCGCTACGGTGGCGTGATGCTCATTGCCTCGTATACAGGAGGTTGTGGTCTCGATCCCGACCCTGATGCTTGCTGTATATTTGGAGTTTGGTGTCTCTCTCCCCGTGGTCGCGTGGATTTTTCTCCAGGTACTCCGGTTTTCCCTCTACCTTTAGAAACACGCGTTTAGAGTCGTCTTGGTTCTTTCGGTAAAGTCACGTATATAGAAAATAAAAAAACAAGAATATGTATTCCTGCAGTCATGAAAGTTTTAAGTCAAAATTTTACGCGTTTAGAGTGTTTGGCTGCTATACATTTCCACTTGATAAGCCACTTTGTCGAGCTGTTATTTGTGGCCAGGTAGCTTCTGAAACAGAACTATATAGCTCAATGGGCCTTACTTCGTTAAATAACAATAGTGGCCAGGTAGCTTCTGAAACGGAACTATATAGCTCAATGGGCATTACCTCGTCAAATAACAATAGTTTAGTTTTTTTCGAAGTATTATTCAGGCTCACACCTAGCTTCCGAGATCAGGCGCGGTGTATGTCATGGGCGCAGTATCTAATGAGTATGTCAACATACATTATGCTTACATTTGACACTTGAGGCATGTGGATGGGTTGCCAGCCCCATGCAGTGACTGCTCAATGAGAAGGGTCACACGCGGGAGGCAGCGCCACTTGTGGGTGAGCTCGGCGTTGCTGCGGGTCCGTCGCCACCTGGTGGCGAGAGTCCTCGCCACGGCACGCGGAGGAGAGGGCGGCTCAGATTCTCCGCGCTCACGGTGGATGGGATCTTCGGGGCTACTCCGTCAGTGGCTCCGCTCCACCGGTGCTCGCTTCTCACCGAGCCCTGGGGAATGTTGAACTTGCCAGAGGCACGGCTTAGCGCGTGGGGTCGGCAACCAAATACGGTGTCCAGATGTTCACTACCTTGCCTGGGCGTGGGTTCGATTCCGACCCTGACACCTGTATATTTGGAGTCAGATTGTTACTCTCCCCGTGGTGGCGTGAATTTTTCTCCGGGTCCTCCGGTTTTTCCCCTCCATAATTAGAAACGTGCGTCTCGAGGACTTGAGCCATCATTTGTGGCCAAGTCACTTCTAAAAACGGACTGTAGAGCTCAGTGGGACTAACCTGGTGCAATAAAAACAAGTTTTAGTTTAACAAGAAGAGCCATTTTTTCGAATTCGGGTAAAATAAAAAAAACACTCAATATTTCAAGAGCCGCAATGCCTGCGAATACATTACGGCGGTCCTTGATAAATAGCGTCACGAAACAGTCCTTTAAAGAGCCGCATGCGGCTCCGGAGCCGCAGGTCTTGCCGCCCGCTGGCTTAGCGCGAGGACCAATGGCTCTCAGGCACTGCTCGAGTACCTGGAGAGGGCGCGGCGAAACACGAACCACGGGCCGAGGAGGTTGCGAGACACTCAGCCAGTGTGCCAAGCGGTCTACACTCCTTGGCATTTCTGACAGATAAAAAAATGGGATAACTCAGCTGTTACAGACGGCATGATTCCTCATGCAATAGTTTGAGCAGAAGCAGCTTGAGATTCATATTCTTGGTTCTTTCGGGAAAGTCACGTTGATAGAAAATAAAATAAAATACTATAAAATAAAAAAATATAAATAATAATACAAATTATAAAGCACAAACCCACGACGTTTCGATCGCAAAACAAGCGGGCTTCGTCAGGCGATGGGTTTTTGCTTTATTATTTTCAAATTTTATTTTTTATTTTATTTTATTATCTTTTATTTTTATTCTATGTTCTATCTACGTGACTTTACCGAAAGAATCAATAATATGAATTCCTGCAGTCACGAAAGTTTTAAGTCAAAATTCAGGTTGAGATTGGCAATCAAATACGTGGGAGTGATTCTGCTGTCTGGGCGTGCTGTACACAGGTCCACGGTGAGTGTGCAGCTCGATCCTTCTACTAAGCAGGCGTCTCTAGAGCCGAGTGGGACGGAGCCGCTCCTAACGTCGTCGGCATGGCCTCCAGTGTGGCGCTCTCCAGAAACACGGCGGTTGTGGTGGTGGTTGGTGGTGTCATTATTCTGTCGGGTAGAGTGAGTGACGGCCGTGGAAAGGCGACTGTGTGAAGCATCACTGCCAACATACCCGCTCCTCCCTCCCTCCACCAATATCGTTGAAACCCGTGACAGTGCTGATATTGTGCCTGTTTACGCAAGAGAGCCTCACTGATGAGTCTCCAGCGTGTTTTCAGGAGGGTCCTGCCAAGCAAGCAACTGCTTAGCAGTGGGCTGGACGTCCGTCCTGCCTTGTCAAATGCACCGCTGTGAAAGAGACGCTGCAGTCGGAGGGACCGCGTCCCCGAAATCCCACAAGCGGCGTTGCAACTCGGAGCAACGGAGCGCACACAACATTGCGCGGAGCCGAGAGTGCGTGGCGGAGTGGCGGCGGGGCTTTGAGTTCCTCCTTTGTATCCGCCGCGCCCGAGAAGTGGGGGTTCGCGTGAGTGGGGTTCGCACACAGAGCCCGCCCCTGTCGCCGTCTCCCGGCCGTGAGCATCTCCTGGTAACAAAACTCCACAAGCACCAACAAAGCGGCGTCCCTCGCACCGTGGCCGTCAGCAGTGCGCGGCTGGCAAAGGGCCCAGCAATCAGCTTCACGTTCAGTGACGGCTGCCCCAGCACCGCGGGCTTGACAAGGTATGTTATGTATCAGTTTAACACGTAGGCTTTCGCGACCAATATTATTAATAATAAAGGTGTTTTGGGTTAGATCGCGTTATTTATAAATGTGTCGTAACCCTCCACCACCCGACACGGCCAAACAGTAAAACACGTGTCACGTTTACAAAGACAAATAGTTCACTACTTTAGCCCACCGGTGTGTTGAAGGGTGAATCAACATCATTTACAATTTTGAGTACACGTTTCGCTGGTAATTACATCCAGCATCATCGGGCAATTTGCCAGAATGGTGAGGCCCTCCACTTGCTTCCGGTCTTAAATAGAGCAGCAGCAGGGTGACGTCATCTTTTAAACTCAATCTGGTGCAGTGATTCGAGGCGTGGAGGGTAATCATTAAATTGTTCATTGGTATTTGTTTCCCCTATAAGGAATTGTAATATATATTTGATGTATTTTATAATATGCCTCCAGGCCGCTCTAAGACTGTAGCTGTCAGAGCGATTACAGTTATTTGTATTTCTCTCAATTTCAATGGATTCTCTAATTAGTCTTGGCCAGTAATAATTAGTTTTACACACCCCTTCAACGTTATCAAAATCAATTGAGTGTCATTGTTGACAAGCATGCTCTGCCACTGCCGACAGTTGTGTTTGAGATAATTTAATATTTCTTTGGTGTTTTTTTTAGACTTACGCATATGTTACGACCAATATAGCATCTGCCACAAAAAAATGTATCCGATATACACCTTCTGTTAGTAATTTAGGTAATTCGTCTTTAGTGCAAGATACTAGTTTTTGAATTTTGTGTACTGTACCAAATCTTACTTTAATGTTTTGCTTTTGCAAAACACGAGCTAATTTGTCAGTTACTCCTGAGATATATGGTATTTTAATTGTTTGAACAATATGATCGCTTTCAGCAGTGTTGCTTTGCGTTCGTGATTTGGCATTCAGTGCTCTGTTAATTTGAGCATTATTGTAACCATTCTGTCGTAGTGCTTCTTTAACATGTTTAATCTCTCTCACGAGACATTCACCATCTGACAGGGTTTTAGCCCGATGTATGAGTGTCTTGATGAGAGAGGATTTCTGAGCTGGGTGATGATGTCAATGGGAGGAAACGGGAGAACAGAGGGACAATATGCAGTGAGACAACATACACACAGAGAGACAACACACACACACAGACAACACACACACAGAGAGACAAAATACAAAGAGAGACACACACACAGAGAGACAACACACACACAGAGAGACAACACACACACAGAGACAACACACACACAGAGACAACACACACACACAGAGACAAAATTCAGAGAGACACACACAGAGACAACACACACAGAGAGAGACAACACACACACAGAGACACACACACAGAGACAACACACACACAGAGAGACAACATACACACAGAGAGACACACACACACAGAGAGACAACATACACACAGAGAGACAACACACAGAGAGAGAGACAACACACACACACACAGAGACACACACACACAGAGAGACAACACACACACACACAGAGACAACATACACACAGTGAGACAGCATACACACAGAGACAACACACACACAGTGAGACAACACACACACAGAGAGACAACACACACACAGTGAGACAACATACACACAGAGAGACAACACACACACACAGAGACAACACACACAGAAAGACAACACACACACAGAGAGACAACATACACACAGAGAGACACACACACAGAGACAACATACACACAGTGAGACAACATACACACAGAGAGAGACAACATACACACAGAGAGACAACACACACACAGAGAGACAACACACACACACAGAGACAGCATACACACAGAGAGACAACATATACACAGAGAGACACACACACGCACAGAGAGAGAGACACACACAGAGAGACACACACACACAGAGACAACATACACAATGAGAGACACACACACACACAGGGACAACACACACACAGAGACAACATACACACAGAGAGACACACACACAGAGACAACATACACACAGAGAGACACACACACAGACAACACACACACAGAGAGACAACACACACACAGAGAGACAGCATACACACAGAGAGACAACATACACACAAAGAGACACACACAGAGAGAGACAACATACACACAGAGAGACAACACACACACAGAGAGACAGCATACACACAGAGAGACAACATACACACAGAGAGACACACACACGCACAGAGAGAGAGACACACACAGAGAGACACACACACACACACAGACAACATACACAATGAGAGACACACACACAGGGACAACACACACACAGAGACAACATACACACAGAGAGACACACACACAGAGACAACATACACACAGAGAGACACACACACAGACAACACACACACAGAGAGACAACACACACACAGAGAGACAGCATACACACAGAGAGACAACATACACACAGAGAGACACACACACACAGAGAGACAACATACACACAGAGAGACAACACACACACAGAGAGACAACACACACACACACACAGAGACACACACACAGAGAGACAACACACACACACACAGACAACATACACACAGTGAGACAGCATACACACAGAGAGACAACACACACACAGTGAGACAACACACACACAGAGAGACAACACACACAGTGAGACAATATACACACAGAGAGACAACACACACACAGAGACAACACACACACACAGAAAGACAACACACACACAGAGAGACAACATACACACAGAGAGACACACACACAGAGACAACATACACACAGTGAGACAACATACACACAGAGAGAGACAACATACACACAGAGAGACAACACACACAGAAAGACAACACACACACAGAGAGACAGCATACACACAGAGAGACAACATACACACAGAGAGACACACACACAGAGACAACATACACACAGTGAGACAACATACACACAGAGAGAGACAACATACACACAGAGAGACAACACACACACAGAAAGACAACACACACACAGAGAGACAGCATACACACAGAGAGACAACATACACACAGAGAGACACACACGCACAGAGAGAGAGACACACACAGAGAGACACACACACACAGAGACAACATACACAATGAGAGACACACACACACAGGGACAACACACACACAGAGACAACATACACACAGAGAGACACACACACAGAGACAACATACACACAGAGAGACACACACACAGACAACACACACACAGAGACAACACATATATACAGACACAGACACAATTTCAACCGAGAAGATGGGTACAAACTGAGCAATCATTGGAAGGACGTTACCAACCAGTTTAATTCATAACTGGCTGTGATGTTAGATGTGATTTTCGGCTCTCCGATTTTACATTAACCGGTTACATTTATCACACCAACACAGCCACCTTCGCGCGCCGACCTAGAGGTTGCGGCTCTGCGATCTGCCATTAACATGCTAATCTCTCACATTAACATAGCCACCTCAGCGCGCTCGCTCTGGAGGCCACTCACGGATCTTACATTAACATGGTAATTTTAACTTGGCAGCCCTTTAATAGGTGGAAAACCCACCACCGTAATGGTTGCTGCCCACCACTTACATCAACATTAGCTGCCCCGCCCATGCTGCTGACACACTTGGGCTACACCCATTTCAAACCTCTATAATCAGTTTGCCTTTAGAAGCTAAACCCCTTTTCCTGATGACGACCGCTTGTGTTGCGATCGAAACGTCGTAGTTTTTTGTTATTTTCTTTGAACTTATCTCCGTGACTTTACCGAAAGACTGAAAAAATCTGAATTCCTGCAGTCACGAAAGCTTTAAGTCAAGATTTAGTGTGTGGAGAAATCTATTATATCTGGTCTGCATGGCTACTTTGTTTATCTTACAGTTTATGATATTGGTTTTGTCTCCCTGCGGTTTTCTCAGCAATTCCTGTCGTAAACCTCTGAGCACTTAAATAATGTGGCATGTACGGTAATGATCCTGTACTGTTTGTATATTTGGCTCATGAAACCTCGAAGAGATATCCCACCTGGCACTTGGTCCCTGCTGGGCTGAGGTGACCAATAGATGGCATCATACAACATTGGTTGTAGCAATCTTTGTAAGTCTTTGAGTTACCCCCCCCCCCCCCCCCATATCCAAATGTTTTCTACGGGTGCCTTGGCTTTCTTCTACCTTTTAAACTTGAATTGACCAAATCTCCCAGAATAAGGTACTCTGATAACAGTCTTGAGATCAGGGAGGCCTCCCGGGAGATGGAATGACAGGAGGGGGGATGATTGTATGGGGCTCAGCGCCCGCGAGGAGCTCCTGGGCGCGAGAGTCGTGCGTAAGAGTCGTGTGTGAGAGTCGTGAGTGAATGGGCGTCGTGAGAGTCATAAGTGAGAGTTGTGAATGTGAGTCGTGAGAGTCGTGTGTCCTTGCAGCATGGACGAGGTGGGGAGTGCGGTGAGGGAGACACAGAGCGCGAGGAACGCGGAAACCTCGCGGCACGACACTCTGGAGCAGCAGCGCGCGGGGCACACGCGGGTCAGGAGCTCACCGTGACCCTGTACATACAGTGAGGGAAAAAAATATTTGATCCCCTGCTGATTTTGTACGTTTGCCCACTGACAAATAAATGATCAGTCTATAATTTTAATGGTAGGTTTATTTGAACAGTGAGAGACAGAATAACAACAAAAATATCCAGAAAAACGCATGTCAAAAATGTTATAAATTGATTTGCATTTTAATGAGGGAAATAAGTATTTGACCCCTCTGCAAAACATGACTTAGTACTTGGTGGCAAAACCCTTGTTGGCAATCACAGAGGTCAGACGTTTCTTGTAGTTGGCCACCAAGTTTGCACACATCTCAGGAGGGATTTTGTCCCACTCCTCTTTGCAGATCTTCTCCAAGTCATTAAGGTTTCGAGGCTGACGTTTGGCAACTCTAACCTTCAGCTCCCTCCACATATTTTCTATGGGATGAAGGTCTGGAGACTGGCTAGGCCACTTTATGACCTTAATTTGCTTCTTCTTGAGCCACTCCTTTGTTGCCTTGGCCGTGTGTTTTGGGTCATAGTCATGCTGGAATACCCATCCACGACCCATTTTCAATGCCCTGGCTGAGGGAAGGAGGTTCTCACCCAAGATTTGACGGTACATGGCCCTGTCCATCGTCCCTTTGATGCGGTGAAGTTGTCCTGTCCCCTTAGCAGAAAAACACCCCCAAAAGATAATGTTTCCACCTCCATGTTTGACGGTGGGGATGGTGTTCTTGGGGTCATAGGCAGCATTCCTCCTCCTCCAAACACGGCGAGTTGAGTTGATGCTAAAGAGCTCCATTTTGGTCTCATCTGACCACAACATTTTCACCCAGTTGTCCTCTGAATCATTCAGATGTTCATTGGCAAACTTCAGAAGGCATATATATGTGCATTCTTGAGCAGGGGGATCTTGCGGGCGCTGCAATATTTCAGTCCTTCACGGCGTAGTGTGTTACCAACTGTTTTCTTGGTGACTATGGTCCCAGCTGCCTTGAGATCATTGACAAGATCCTCCCTTGTAGTTCTGGGCTGATTCCTCACCGTTCTCATGATCATTGCAACTCCACGAGGTGAGATCTTGCATGGAGACCCAGGCCAAGGGAGATTTGCGAATAATCGCACCAACTGTTGACACCTTCTCACCAAGCTGCTTGGCGATGGTCTTGTAGCCCATTCCAGCCTTGTGTAAGTCTACAATCTTGTCCCTGACATTCTTGGAGAGCTCTTTGGTCTTGGCCATGGTGGAGAGTTTGGAATCTGATTGATTGATTGCTTCTGTGACCAGGTGTCTTTTATACAGGTAACAAGCTGAGATTAGGAGCACTGCCTTTAATAGTGTGCTCCTAATCTCAGCTCTTTAGCTGTATAAAAGACACCTGGGAGCCAGATATCTTTCTGATTGAGAGGAGGTCAAATACTTATTTCCCTCATTAAAATTCAAATCAATTTATAACATTTTTGACATGCGTTTTTCTGGATTTTGTTATTGTTATTCTGTCTCTCACCGTTCAAATAAACCTACCATTAAAATTATAGACTGATCATTGCTTTGTCAGTGGGCAAACATATAAAATCAGCAGGGGATCAAATACTTTTTTCCCTCACTGTACACACACAGTCACACAGTCACACACAGTGACCCCGTACCTACACACACAGTCACACACAGCAACACTGTACCTACACACACAGTCACACACAGAAACACTGTACCTACATACACAGTCACACACAGTGACCCCGTACCTACACACACAGTCACACACATTAACACTGTACCTACACACACAGTCACACACAGCAACACCGTATCTACATACACAGTCACACACAGTGACCCCGTACCTACACACAGTCACACACGGTGACCCCGTACCTACATACACAGTCACACACAGCAACACTGTGCCTACACACACAGTCACACACAGCAACACTGTACTTATACACACAGCCTCACACAGTCACACACAGTAACCCCGTACCTACATACACAACAACAACCGCCATTCGCCACTAAGTGGCGGTGACGTCACCACGACGCTTGTGCCAGGCCATGTGCACCTTGAGGCCACGTGAAGTGTCGAAGGCTCGCTGGCAGGAGGTCACGGGGCAGACCCAGGTGCCACGGGTCGACTGACTGAGATGACCGAGATGACTGGCTGATGCACCACCTGTGCCCCCTACTGTGCCAAATTGCTGTGCTTTAGCCACCCGGCGCTCCGCTCGTTGTTGTGAGCGTCGCTCCTCCGCCCTCCGTTGTTGTTGGAGGGCGACTGCCTCCAACTGAGCCTCCTCCATAGAGGCTGATCTTGACACTGCTGGTATCAGTCATCGACAAGTCCACTCAGCTCCACGTCCTCCTGTACCACATCACTCCATCTCTTCTCTAGCCTGTGCCACGTCCGTTTAGCCCCCTCGATCCGGCCGAACAAAAGCTGTTTAGGCAGCCAACGCAGCCTTGCCTGACGGAGGAGCTGACCAATGGAACTTTGCCCAGATCTTTCAATGATTTGTGAGCTCCTCACACAATCCAGCCTGGTTAAACCCAGGATAGATCGTAGGCAGGCCAACCTAAATGATTTTAACTGGCAAAGATGCTCCATTAGGGGGGTCCACGTTTCGCAAGCGTAGAGAAGGGAGGGAATGACCATGGCCGAAAAGACCTGAAGCTTCGTGCGGAGCGACAGACCAGGTAGCTTCCGCACAGCGTTATGCAACCGATTAAAATACATTGCCGCTCGACTGATTCGGAGTGAGACCTCTGCTGCTAAACCGGAGCCGCTCATGAGCAGACTGCCCAGGTATGGGAAACTCTCCACTCTCTCCACAATTGCCCCATCACCGATTGGGAGTTGTGGGGGTGGAATGTCTGATGGTACAAAATACCTAGGCAGGTGCTTAGTTTTGATGGGGCTGATGGTAAGGCCCCACCTCTTAGTGGCACTCTCCAGTTTCAGCAGCAGCGTATCCAGTGAACTGGAGCAAGTACGCCAAGCCCTCAAGATGAATGGATATTCGGACCGCACAATCCGCAAAGCTGTATCCCCAACCATGGGTAGAGAACCATCTGAGGATCCAATAAAAATCATCACCTTGCCATACATAGCAGGGGTTACCAAAAAGATTTTCAAAATCTTAAACAAACACAAGATTCAGGTTCGATTCAACAAAGTACACAAAATCCGTGACCTGATCCCATCTGTGAAAAATGTAATTCCTGACATGCAACACCCTGGTATCTACAAACTAAGTTGTGTCTGCGATAGCAGTTACATTGGGGAAATGAAACGACGTCTCGGACCGTGTTCGCGAACACAAGGCAGATTTGAAACACGGCAGAACCAAGACCTCTACCATGGCTGATCACTGCTTGAACGCGGTGGGCTTGTTTTTTTCCGAGACCAAGGTACTCTGCAAACCTTCGGGCTACCCTCAAAGATGTATTCATGAAGCCATCCAGATATATAAACACAGACATAACTTCAACCGAGAAGATGGGTACAAATTGTGCAATCATTATTAACCAGGTAAAGCCTTAACTGGTTGTTGATGTTTCCATCCTACCTGCCATTGTCAGTAGTTATTTCCGACTCTCTGAGTTACATTACCAATTTACATAACCAAGTTAAATGTCTTTACATTAACGGGCTAAATGTCTCACTAACAAAGCCAACGTTGCCCCTTTCCCTCGATGTGGCGGTGGCTCTCGTTTTTAAAATCCTTCATATTAAGTTCGCTTGCTTGCTTGCTTGCGTGCTTGCTTGCTTGCTTACGACCGTGCAAATCTTTCGGTCGTTTTTTAACCCACTTCCCGTGATCCAATCGAGCTGACATTTTCCACACAGACTCGTTGTGCGTGACAATTAATTTTCGTGAAATTTTTGTAGCAAAATTTTACACTTTTTAGGATTTTTTTTATCTTTAATTACCAATTGCTTAATGCTGCCAGGCAATCATCTGACCCATAGGTGGCAGCCATCTCAAGCCAGAGGACGAGAGGACTCTAGCTGCCACGCATATAAAGGATTTATAGTGAAAAACTTTGTTTTTACGGGTTATATTTTTTTAACAGACTATAACTGGCTGTGATGTTGTTGTGTGTGTGTGTCTCTCTGTGTGTGTGTCTCTTTGTGTGTGTGTGTCTCGGTTTGTGTGTCTCTCTCTCTGTGTCTCCCTATATGTCTCTCTCTTGTCTCTTTGTGTGTATGTGTGTCTCTCTCTGTGTCCTCTCTGTGTGTGTGTCTCTCTATCTGTCTGTGTCTCTCTATATGTGTCTCTCTGTGTGTCTCTCTCTGTGTGTCTCTGTGTGTGTGTCTCTCTCTATGTGCGTGGGTGTGCCTCTCGGTGTGTGCCTCTCTCTCTCTCTCCTTCCCTCAATGTGGTGTTATCCCTCGTTTGTTCCCCTCGTTTTCAAACGAGCCGTTGGTTCGTTTACATTGACATGCTAAGCTAATCTCTCAAAATACAATGGCCACCTCCGCAGCTCTCGCATCAACCCTGCCCCCCCCCATCTCGGTTCCCATCTTTGGATTTCCCACTCGCTTAGGAACAATCTCTAGCTCCCACCCTCTTGCCCGATGCGGCAACCCTCCGCTCCTCTCGCCTCTATATATAAGGACTTGTTTCAGCGGCCTGTTTCTATCTCCCACCTGACGACGATTGCTTGTGTGGCGATCGAAAAGTCGTGATCTATTGTTTTTTCTACCTACGTGTTTTTACCGAAAGAACCAAAGAGTATGTTAATGCTATTTTACATTCATTCGCATGTTAAGTTTGCATTAACATGCTAATGTCTCACATTAACATCACTAGCCCCGCCCACTTCGTTTGTGACCCTTGGGCTACACCCATTTTAAACCTTTCAAACAGTCTTCCTCAGCAGCTTTCCCCCTCTTTTTTAAATCCTTTATAACAGGACCCTGCGGGGTGGGCTGGTAGGAACGAATAACCAAAGAATATAAACATAATGTATTATTACACTTGTTTAGCCAGGAAA